CCCACACGTCCCACTCACATTTCCCTGCCTCAGCAAAGCATCCAGAACAGACCTGCCCCATGTTGCTCCCCACAGCCCCTCCTCAGCCCATGGGAGCATCACTGCCCACAAACCCTCTGCATGTTCCTGTGCTGGCCAGGTGTCCCTACACACTTCTATTTCTCCTCCCATGGCTTCCAAGCACACTCCTGCCACCAGACATGCTCTGCCCCACTTCCCACGCAGGCAGGGCTCCAGTTGGGCAACCCCAGCACCCCAGATGCTGTGGAAGCTCCAGGGCTGTTGGTGTGGCACGGAGTCAGTGCTCAGCTCTGTGGGAGCTGCTGCTCAACCCTCCAGGAGCAGAGTGGCCCCAGTCCTGTGGTCCCACAGGCACATCCTCAGCTGTGCAGGGGCTCTGTGCAGTCACAGATCGATGGTCTGTGTGGGAAGTGAACTCAAAGCTCACCCAGTCCCATCCCCTGCCGCAGGCTGGGACACTTTCCAGAATCCCAGGTTGCTCCAAGCCCAATCCAACCTGGCCTTGGACATTTAGGCATGGGGCAGCCACAGCTTCTCAGGGCCTTTCTGCCTTCACAGGGAACAATTCCTTCCCCATACCTGGGGAAGCCATCATATAGCTAGCTATAGCCCATCTATCCCTGCCCTCTGGCAGTGGGAAGCCATTCCTCCTTGTCCTGTCTCTCCAGACCCTTGTCCCCAGTCCCTCCCCAGCTCTCCTGGAGCCCCTTCAGGCGCTGGAAGGGACTCTAAGATCTCCCCCAGAGCCTCCTCTTCTCCAGATGAACACCCCCAGCTCTCCCAGCCTGGCTCCAGAGCAGAGGGGCTCCAGCCCTCGGAGCAGCTCCGTGGCCTCCCCTGGACTCTCTCCAGCAGCTCCACGTCCTTCCTGTGCTGGAAGGCCAGGGCTGGAGGCAGCTCTGCAGGTGGGGTCTCACCTGAGTGGGGCACAGGGGCAGAATCCCCCCTGCCCTGCTGCCCATGCTGGGGGATCAGCCCAGCTGGCCAAGGGGGATGAGCTGGGCAGTGTGCTGGGGACACAGAGCACCTGGGAGCCGCCCAGGCTGGGATCCCAGGGGACACTGGCCAGGAGCACACATTGATGGTGGTGTGGGGGATGGCTTGGAGCAGGTGTGTGCAGGAATGGGTGTGCAGGGTTGGGATGGGGAGGTGCACATTGGGGTGAGCACACAGGCACTTTTGGGAGTTCAGGGATTTTTTGTCTCCTCTGCTCTCCTGCAGTGCCCAAGTGAGGACAGATCAAAGGACAAGACAAAGAGCAAGGTAGGTCTGGGTTGGAGCACCAGAATGGAGCTTCAGGGGGCTGGAGTGGGCTGAGTGTCCTGGATTAGCCCTCGTCACCAGCTGATGGAGTCCCAGCTTAGGTCTTCCTTGTCCCGTGGCTGGAGAGGGGTGGGATGATGAACCTGAGGGAAACCTGTCCCTTAGTGAGGTGGAGGGAGGGCTGTAAGTGTGGCTGGGACATATTTCCCACCCATCCCTGACTAGGGCTCTCTTGGTGCTCTTCCAGGATTCGGATCTCGTTCCTTTCCCAGGTGGATCCTGCAGGTGCCAGGCAGTGGTGGGGCAGGTGCTGATGCCCCTGGCCATAGTCTCTGCACACTGCTGGGCTGTCCCTCCCTGGCAGTGCTTTGGGGGCTGCACCTCACCTGCCATGGCAGGGCCCTCTCTGAACCTGTCATTGCCTGTGACAATGAAACAAACGCAGCTGAGGGGCTTTGGTCTAATAAAAGCCACCAAACCGCTCTGTCCTGCTTATTGTGGGGTTGGCTTGGGCGGGGGGGATGTGGAGAGGTGCCAGGGCTGCTGTGGGGTCACCTAGGATCCCACCCAACCAAGGTGGAGAAGATGGGTTTTGAGCTTGGAAAGGAAGGACCAGCTTTGTGAAACACATATAGAGATTACTGAACTAGGAGGAGCCCAAGAGGAGAAAGAGAATGCAGGAAGATTTCCTTCTGGAGCAGGGGAATGATTCTGGCTGGGGAAAAAGAAATGCCACATCAATGTTGGGGCATCTTAATGCCTCTTTATTGAAGCACAGGTCCTTTATCCATGCCAGTGGGGCAGTGGATCCAGCCAGGATCTGTCACCTCCTCATGGTGGGTACAGGACATGTTGATGCATTATCCAGAGGAGGGGACTCCTCCCCGTGGGCTGGTGTGCAGGGTGAGTTATCACTTGAGCTCTGGGCCAGGCCAGGTCAGACCCTGGGTGTTAGCAGAGTCCAGAGGGACCCATGGAACACGTGGTTACCTGGAGTCAGAGGCACGGGGGCGATCTCTCCATCAGCAGCACGAGGGTAGGAGCTCTCCCAGCTGCATGGCAGCTCTGTCACGGGGCCAGCCCCACATCCTGTCCATGTCCTGGCATTGCCAGTGTAGATGCAAACCCAGCCTGGCATCCACAGATTGGAGCCCATCCCCTCCTTGGTGCCACAGAAGGCAGTGCCCGTGATTAATCGGATTCCTCTCTGCACCATGTCCCCTGCAGCCCCTCTGCTTTGTCCCTGTCTGTCCCCAGGCACTTTCAGCCCAAGCTGAAGTCCAGGGAGTGTTGCTGTTCCAAGGGGCTCACCACTGGTGCAGCACCTGTCCACACCAGGGTTGTTTCCACCATCAGAGGGCATTGTCGGATTAATTTTATCCCACTGCTGGTCAGGCTGGATTTTTGAGGTGGTTGGTACTGGTGGTAATGCCACAGAGTGGAGGCTGCAGTCCCAGCTGGCAAGTGGAGAGCTTGTTTTCCTTGGCATGCTCACACCTGTTACTGCTTGGGGTGTCCTGTCCCCCTTGGTCTTCCTGGCACCTGGGCACATGGCCCTGGCCAGTGGGATTCTTTCAGGGCCAGGTCTGGAAGCCGGCTGTGGGCTGATCTCCAGGACTCTGTCATGCTGCACACTGTGCCCTTTCCAGGCCCTTATTTCAGTCCTACAGAGCACAGACTGCTTTTGTAACCCCACAGGGGACTGAGGTGGGCGACAACGTCCACTTTCAGTGTGGGCTCCCCGGGAAAGGTCTGGAGAGCACAGAGTGGAAAAATCCACTGGATGTTATTTTTAATGAAGTAACCATTCACATGCCCTTTAATTTATGAGCATCCCAGTCACCAGTTTCCTGGGCACCTTAGCAAGGATCAGGCCAAAGCGTCAGTTCCAGAAAAGCAGCAGAAATAAGATGCAAATGGGAGTCTGAGCTGGGCAAACAGCAGCACAAATCTGAATGCAAGGTACTGCTGTGCCAAGGGACCACAGCCTGGGGTGTCCTCTACACTAACTTGGGGTTGCAACATCCTCAGGCACTACTGACATTGGTGCTCCATGAGACCTGAGGCGCTTCCCTCTGCCCTCTCCAGGAGAAGGCACAGGACGTGGCAAGGTGGGGGCACGGGTGCACCGGGCAGAGGAGCCACTGGACATGGGATGGCTCATGGGAGAGGTTCAGCTCTGGCCCCAGGTCACCGGTGATGCCTGGGAGGGGGATGTGGGCTGAAGTCTGTGGTTCCCAAGGGCTCAGCACCAGCACAGCAGCATTCCCACCATGGGAAGGCTGGGAGGGTGCTCAGGACTCCTCTACTGTGATGAGTACTGAGGGAAGGATTTTCTCCTGTCCTTGTCATTGTTTTTCTGCTCTGCTCCTGTTTTTCCCTGTGTGGTCTGAGCCAGGAGCCTGGAAATACATCAAGGTCCCTGCAAAATGTGGGTGGCTGAGCCTTTCATCTCCTGTCTTCCTTGCTGCCCTCCTCATCCCTCTGAGCTAAACAGAGCTTGCTGCAGCAGTGGGAGAAGGGACTCCCTGTTGCCCCAGTGCCTGTGCTGCACACTCCCAGCATCGCTAAAAATCACCCATAAATCTCACCCGTGCAATGTCCTCTCTCTCTCTGCACCCCCAGTCTCTGGGAACTTGCTGCAGTCGCTCTGCCTGCTGCTGACATCCCTTCTGAGAGGCACGACCCTGCTGGGGCAGGGGCTGGGTTGTAAGACCTGTGTTGTCAATGGGAGCTTGGTGAATGAGGAACGCTGATAAGAAAAGAATGCAAATCAACTCAAATTAACTTTTCCCACCACCAATTCAGCCCCGGAGATCTTGCTGCAGAGCAGGGAATGGCACTTCCAGCATCCACAGGGACCAGAGCTGGATGAGGGATGGTCCATCTCCAGCCACCCCCTCCTCCAATCTACCCACAGCTGAACTTCAGGGCTGGCAAAATGCAGTGGCAGCATCAGCAGCCACAGAGAGCCTGTAGCTCTCCCCAACTTGTTCCCAGAGGGGTTTGGGTCCCCCTTTGCCCCCCGGGCTGGGGAGGTGTCTGCATTAACCCACAATGTTTGGGTCAAAAGAGTTTGGCTGCAGAGGGAGGGTGGTAGGGAGGAACATGGGAGGTGTGAGATGAACAGCCTGGGAGAAATTTGCCAATGCTTTTCACATGAAACGGCCAGGAGAAAGGAGGGAAAATGACTCAAAACTAGAATAAAGGAGAGGAAGACCACTGGAGAGGACACCCTCCCTGGGGGCAGCTTGCAGGGGTAGTGGGTGCTGCTGGGACCCACAGGGAGCCATCAGGGAAGCAAAAGCGGTTTCTGCAGAGTTCTCTGGGATTATGCTTAAGGGTTTCAGCAATACCCACCTCTGCCCACCTCTCTGGTAGTGCTGAGAGCTGGAGACTGACCCTCTGCTCCTGGGGTGGTGGTTTCACCACCCTGCGGGTGCTGGCAATGCCATGGGAAGACTTTTCCTATCTCTTCCCACGTCTCAGCCTCTCCCTGGTTACAGAGGGTAAAGAAAGGACTTTAAAACTTAACTTCTTCATAAATCCCAGTGCTCTGGACTCTCCTGGTTCTCAACATCTTCACTCCCACAGGGCACCCCTTTGTCCCAGTGCCCAGGTACCCCCATGGATCCATGGACAGAGTGTGAGGTGCCTCCAGCACCACCAGCACCATGGAGCTCAGGGCTCCCATCAATGGCAGGGCACCTTCTGGGTGGTTTGGATCACTAGGCTTTATTTGCATGAAGATAAACTGCGCGTTTGTCTGTACAATTTTTCCTTAAATACTTGGCAATGCTTAAAAAAATGAAAAACAAAAACAAACAGGGAGAAAAATTCCTAAACCAGAAAGGAACACTGCAGGCTACGATATCCAAACAGTACAATGCTTTTGAATAAATAACCCCCCGGGATGGCTGTGGGGACTGCAGGGAGCTGCTGAACTCAGAACCCATTGGGTCCTTGCTGCCTCCTCCTGAGACAGCAGGAACAACGTCCGGGTGAGGATTGGGTGGGCACAGAGGTCCCCCCTCTGCCCTCTCCCAGTTCCTAGTTGCCTGTCTCAGCCATGGTGGTGCTGGTGGCGTTTTTGTTGGTTTTGCAGCAGAAGTACTGGTTCCAGATCTGCAGGAAGGCTGTCCGGAACTTCTTGATGCGGAAGGCGTAGACGATGGGGTTCATGGCCGAGTTGCCGTGGGTGAGGAAGATGGCGATGTAGGTGAGGATGTGCGGGGTCTGGCAGGACGGGCAGAACAGGGTGATGCAGTTGAGGACGTGCAGAGGCAGCCAGCTGAGCGCAAACAGGAAGAGAACCAGCGCCAAGGACTTGGCGATCTTCAGCTCCTTCCCGTAGTACTTCTGGGGGTCGTTGGAGCTGGAGGACACCTTCTTGTTGAGCTGCTTGCGGATGAGGTTGAAGACCTCCAGGTAGATGAGCAACATCAGCAGCAGGGGAGGCAGGACCCAGACGAAGAAGTTGAAGTACACCATGTACTCCATGCTGATGACTGTCTCAAACTGGCACGTGATGACAAACTCTGTGCGGCTGCCATTCAGCTCCTGAGTCCTCTGCATCTTGTTGAGGTTGTTCCAGCCAAACATGGGGGTAAGTCCCACCAGAAAAGAGACTATCCAACAGCAGGCGATGGCCACAGCTGCCCGCCGCGGTGTCACCACACTCTTGTACCTGTGGGAGAGACAACAGCCAGAGGAAGGAGTTAGCCATGGGGATTGTGTAGCTCCAGGTGGAGTGGCAGTGGTGGAGTGGCAGTGCCTGTGCTGATAGGAGGATGTTCCTCCTTCCCTCCCCTGGAAGTAGGTAACAGCCTGTTCTGAAAATTGTGTTCACAGACTGGTTTCCCTGCCTGTGTCCTGGGATGGGAGAGACCCCAGACTCAATCCATGAGCTCTGGGGGTTGATGCCAAGCCAGGGAATGCATTAGCACCTGGAATGTGTCTGAGCATCCAGCCCTCATGTGTTGGAGGGAGTTCATGTGCTCTGGACCCCAGCTCCCATCCAAGCACCTGCACCCAGAGCAGCAGGTCACCCTCTCCTCCTGCCACGCAACAGCCCTGCCAGATCCCAGACAATTGCCCTGTGCCTGGGGAGGAAATCGCCAGCAAAAGCATCCTGTGGGATGTGCTGGGGTGGAGGAAGGATCTGTGGGTGCTAATGGACCCCTGGGGAAGCTTTGGGCACAGCCTGTTCCTCTCCTAATGTACTTAGATTGATGAAACCCTCTTTCTTGATGGGTTGATGCCAGGGGTGGGAGGAGGAGGAGGAGAGCTGTGTTCTGGCTAGGCTCTGCTCCCTCCCTGATGCCCCTGGGGAGCCACCAGGGCTGGGCTCATCTCTCCAGAGCTCTCCAAGCGGGAAGTGCAGTCTGCTGGATTGATTTTTCCCCTGGCCCTCCAGAAAGCTTTTCTTTGAAGGCTGGGAAGATTCTCAGCCCAGGAGTTATTGCTTTCTACCAAAGGGGATTGAACAAAGAATGTTTTCCTGACTGTTTGCTGGGTCTCTCAGTGCTGCTGGTGTTAACCCAACCACAGGGACCATGCGGAGGTGGCTGGCAAACCTGGATTCCCAATCCTGCTCCCTGCTGGAGGTCTGCAGCCTTTACCTGTGATGGAAATTGAGTATTTTGGGCCTTTTATACAGCCAAGGACCCAAACCCACTCTCCCTTCTCAAGACCCCTCTCATGGGCATCAAGGTGGGAGCTTGGACTGGCACAGGCTGGAGGAGAGAACATCAGTCCCTGTGAGTCCAGAGCCATTGGTCCCTGACAGCTTTCCTGAACTGACCTAATGTGCTCTGGGAAAAGCTTCACCACATGCCAGCGGCAGCCAGGTCCCACGGGGAGCAGGTGACAGACAATGTGGGCAGTTGTTTCCGCTGAGAGCCAAGGCTGGCTTTGGAGGATGATTTATTCCTTGTGGGGAGGAGAGAGGGCAGGAGACCCTGGGAAAGGCACAGGCAGGGAGAACTGGGGCATGGGAAGGGCAAGGGGTGGTGGGAGAGAACTGGCCAAGTGGGGGTCAAGTGAAGGGAATGGTGAGGATGGTCCAGAGGGAGAAGGGGGTTGGCAGAGAGATGCCAGAGACTCCGGTGGGGCTGTGTGCTGACCCCTGCACCCCGTGTGTGGCTGCAGGTCCTTGGGGAGGGCTGATGTGCCCTCCAGCTCTGACACCCCACTGCCACCTCCCTAGGCTTGAACAACTTGGGGGGCAACACCAGAAACAGCAGCACCATCCCCATGCCCCAGCTCCTTCTCTCTTTGCAACCCCTGCAAGCTGTGCCACATTTCTCACTCCTGGGCATTTCTGGGGTCTTCTGCTGATTTTGCTGGACATGCTCCCACTGTGAGTGCTCTGTGACCTGCAGAGCTGTGTGAGAGCCACTGCCCAGCAGACAAAGCTGCTGAACAGCAGCGGTGTCACCACGGTCCCCAAACATGGTCCCCAAACATGGTCCCAGGGCTTGCAGCTGGGCACAGGGTCCCTCCCTCCTCACTACACATCCATCTCTCTCCATGATCCGTATCTGTTCCTCCTTCCTGCGTGTCTATCCGTGGTCCGTATCCATTTTTACCCCTTGCTGCAGTACCTGACAGCGTTTGGGAGCAGGACCTGGCTCTTCCTGCTCCTCTTTGCCCTACAAGGTTTGAGGGTGCACCAGCAGAAACAGCCGGGGCAAACCTGGACAACACCCTCCAGCCTGTCTGTGATATGGTCACGGAAAAGTGGGTGAACCAAAAAACCCACAGAAAACAGCCACATCTGCAGCTTGTTGCTCCTTCAAACAATGAGACAGATTGGCATTTAAGAGATGGGGAACACCTAAGGAAGTTAAGGCTGCTGGAGACTGATGGGAGTTTATCTCCTGGCCAATACTTGGCCATTTCTGAGAACTGACAGTGGTTTTGACCATTGAAAAGTGAGATCAACCTGTGAACACCACCTTAAAACCTAAGCCTGGGAATGTATCTTTTTGGTTTCCAGCTGTGAAAGGTAAGAGTTCCAGCTGGCTCCTGTGTCCTCCCCAGGCCGTGCGGCCCAGCCCGGGCTGAGCTCGGCCTGCAGCGGTTCCCGGGCAGGGGATGGAGCCTGTGGGGAATCTCCTGAGCCCAGGATGGGCTGGGATCTGCTGGATCTTCCTGGGCAGGGGATGGAGCCTGTGGGGAATCTCCTGAGCCCAGGATGGGCTGGGATCTGCTGAATCCTGCCGGGCAGGGGATGGAGCCTGTGGGGAATCTCCTGAGCCCAGGCCAGGATCTGCAGCGGTTCCTGGGCAGGGGATGGAGCCTGTGGGGCTTCTCCCAGCCCCAGCCCGGGCCAGGCTCTGCTGAAGTTCCCGGGAAGCCTCTGGGGTGGCTGAGGCTTTTTTTCCCAGGGGTGTCTCCGGCTCTAAGCACAGCTGAGCTGAAACCCGGCACCATAAATACCTACTATTGCTATTGTATAAATACCTACTACAGCTTGAGCCAGATTTTAACCTTTTCGCTACCCAGATGAGACTTGCAGATTTAATCCTTTTTCCAGAGAGAGAGAGTGAACAGCATGTAAAGAGACAACATAAACTATCAAAGCCAGTGAGGAAAGGAATTAAACCTCAGATGGGAAGAGAAGAAGGAGATGCATTAATAAGCTGAAATATTCTTTTGTTAAAGCTATGGAGATGGACAATAATGTTCTGAAAAAAAAAACCCTTTAATTCATGAAAGAGTATTTTGGGGGAATGGAGTATTTCAAAGTGTGGATCAAAGCAGATGGTGAAGTAGTTGTGATCCTATGAGATGCTGGGACAGAAAAGGAGAAGTGAGAGCTGTTGAAGATTTGTGGCCCTTAAGAGACAAAGAGAAAACTTTGGTTTCCAGAGATGGTCGCAGAGACAAATGAAGAGAACTTTTGCCTTTGAATAACTCATCCTTAAAATGACACCCCTTGAATCATGGCCCACAAACACAGCTCAGAGTGGTGTGAAATGGGAGGAAAGGACTGATGGCAGAGTTTTCTGGGCAGCTGGCATCAGAGCAATAGGAAACCATGAGAAAATTCTTGTTTCTTGTGAAAAACCCCATAGACTGACAAAAGAGAACTTCTTTTTCTCTACAAAGACTGATAAAAAGACCATAGCAAAGTTGGGACAGTTTAAATCCACCAGACTTTGTCTCTATGTTGTCAATTAAACGAAAGAATGGTTGGATGGTGGGGAAAAAAGGGTTTCTGGAGGTTTTATTCTGGTTTCTTATCCTTGTAGTTTTGTTAGTAAACTTCATTTCTTTTAAGTTTGAAGCCTGTTTTGCCCTTCTCCTAATCCATATCTCACAGCAAGAAATGAGTAAGTTTTCTAGTGATTTTTTAGCTAATGCTTTAAAACCACAACAAACAACAAGCCAAGGGGAGAGGCAGCTGCAGGAAATACGCTCCCAGGGACCTGTGTCCACTGTCTCCATCAGCCCCACGTGGAGAATGACAGAAGCTATAAAATTGCTCCAGGTTCCTCCAGCCTGCCAGGTCCATCCATCCACTGGGTCTGACCATGGAGCTCTCATGGGGCTCAGCTGCTCCAAAGGCCACAAGTCCAATTGCAATTCCTTTTACACTTTATTTTCCTTTGAGGTGTCCAAGGAATGTCTGAATGTGGCACTCAGTGCTCTGGGCTGAGTAACAAGGTAGGGATCAATTACAGGTTGGAATTGATGGTCTCAGAGGCCTTTTCCAACCTAATTGATTCTGTAAAGGGTGGAAATGCAAGATCCACCTGATTTTCAACCCCTGCCACATGGTGGGAGGACAGTTAGCAGAGGGACAGGGACAGACATTGCTGTTCCCAATATTATTCTTGGTTATGCCATAAAGAAAATCTTTTATCATTGTCTCATTTTGCATAAATATGATAGGGCTGGAGTTTGGGATGGTCTAGGAGGCAGAAGCACTTGAAAATGCTGATAATGGCTCATAGTTAATAAATAATCTTATTATTCTCATCAGCACCAGAGCAATTACCAGCATCATTGCAATTTTATTACTGCTGTTATTTTTATTAACAGCTGGGACTAAAACATTCATGGCAATCATCACCCCCATCCTCATCCACTTTGGGTTTGTTTCCTCTGCCTGTGGGAGTTTTAGCCTGGCTATAATTGGTAGATGTTCCCTTGCCCTCGCTGGATGGTGGTTTTTGCACCTTCCCCACAGAGATGGGCATTGACCCAAGCCCTCCCGGCTGCCAAGTCTGTGAGAAAGGACCAAAGACCATCCAGCCTCATCATGAGATGGGATGGGCAGGAACTGCAGTGTAGAACAAAATTGCCTTTGAGGCTTTGGAAGATAATGCCAAGAGGCAAAATAGCAATTATTGTTAGAGCTGTTTGCTCCCCAGGGGAAGGGGAGAAGTGATGGGTGGAGGTGGAGGCCAACAGATTGTCCCCAGGGGCTGCACAGGGAGACAGGGAGCAGCTCCCTAGGGCAAGATGCTGTCTCCAGGAGAGTCTGAGGATGGAGCAAACACTGAGGCCCTTTTTCTCATGGAGATCATAGGATCCTAGAATGGTTTGGTATGGAAGAGATCTCCTCCCACCACTGCCATGGGCAGGGACACCTTCCAGTATCCCAGGTTGCTCCAAGCCCCATCCAACCTGGCCTTGGATACTTCCAAGTGTGGAGCAGCCACAGCTGCTCTGGGC